CAGCAAGCCAGCCAATGGCAGAAGCAGCTGGGACCGAGGAGAGGCCCCGCATCCGGGGATGGGAGCAGTCCCAGGCGGCGGCGGGGCCCGCAGCTCTGTCACAGGGAAGCGCTGCGGATTAATCAAGTTGATATTACCCATCCTGATTAAACAATGAGACGTCCTGGGGTTCTGCTGTCTGTCCCAATGAGCGCTCATCATACTAATGTGCAAACCCCGCACGGCTCCCTCAGGGGCAAACTACCTTTTAATTTTTCCCTCTAAAGATTAATTCCATTGTTATGGGACCTGTACTATGCACACCATAAACTAATTGTTAGTCATTTTCAAACAATCTGACCTTCCCCGCCACCAAGCCTGGAGTGTTTTCCAAGAGGTCTTTTTGGGTTCTGGAGATGTGTCGCGCAAGTTCAGAAGGTAGAATAAAAACTAAACCGTAACGTGTTTGTCCTGTAACTTCACGAGGAGGGAAAGGACTAAAATGGCTTCCTGTGAGTGACTTTTCAAATTTTAACAGCCGAGAAGACAAAGCGAGTGAGAGCCGTGCTCCGTCCTGGCCCCGTGACACCTGCCATGGGACAGAGAGGCGGCAGGGGCCAGGCTGCGGCAGGCGCCAGGACATCATGCGTGCCGGCCCATCCAGCTCCAGACGCCCCCCAGGTGGCTGTGCGTGCCAGTGACCTGGGGCTGTAAAGAGCCCCAGCCCAGCGGCGGCCCCACGGACCTTGCTCCCTACCAGTCCTGGAGGTGCTGACCTCGGATCCGGGTGGGGCCCAGGATCAGGGAGGGGCCCGGGACTGGGGTGCTAGTCAGGGCTATGCTCCCTCTGACGACACCGGGGAAGGGGGTCTCACACATGCTGAGTCCCCACGACATTCCCCGTGTCCAGACCTCCCCTTTTATGAGGACACCATCCCTGGCTTAGGGCCACCCAACCCCTGGATGACCTCAACTTAACCAGTTACATCTGCAGCGACCGCGTTCCCAAATAAGGCCACATCCTGCGGTTCTGGGGTCGGGGCTTGGACACGTGACTTTGGGTGGGGCATTCTCAACCACACAGTCGATTAGGCTTATGTGACCTGTGAAGCCATCAGGAGCCGGCCAGGGTGGGCGCTAGCCTCTGAAGCAGAGCAGGCCGGCCCGGAAGGCTGGAGCCCTTCCAAAGTGACTCCTCCCAAACTCCTCTGCCTCAGAGGAAGGTCATCCAGAACAGCACCCATTCGGGCCATGCCAGAGGCTTGGAACAGCCAGCCCCAGGTCAAGGCCTCGGCAGACCACAGTGCAGAGGACCCCCAGCCCCAGCGCCAGCCGACGTCTTGCTAGTCTCTTTAGCCTCAAACCCAATGTGAGCCCTCTTGTTTGGAGCCACCATATCATACGGGACCTCCTATGCCCAGAGTGCCAACATCACCGGTGCCCACGCTGTATCTATCTCCTCCCCCTCCCAGAAGCTGGAAACGTTTCCGGAGCTTAGGATTTTCCTGCAGTGCCAACCACAGTGAAACCTAGGGAGCCACTGATGACCTGGTGATGTCATTGCCAAAGAAAAATGACTAGTGGTCAGAGTTTGTTAGAATTCACATTCCCATTGTGCAGAGAGGAGTCTGCACTCTTGGCATTTCTCAGAATTCTTTTGAGAGAGAGAGAGAGAGTGAGTGGGGGAGAGGGGCAGAGAGAGACAGAGAGAGAGAGAGAGAGACTAAATTGAGGCTCAATTCCAATGATCACAAGATTGTGACCTAAGCCGAAATCAAGAGTTGGACACTCAACCGACTGAGCCATCCAGGGGGCCCTGTCAGAATTCTTACACCAGAGAACTCCTTCCACCCCCACTGATGGAAGAGATTCAAACTACACGGAGCATCACAGCTCTCTGGCCTCTGTTAACTAAACGCACAGACACTCATGCAGTCTTTCACACTCACACACACTCACACACAGGGGCATTGCAGGGCCTGGCAATTGAGGCACCCTGTGCTGGGCCTCGCCTCTCCGTCCAGACCAATTCTGCTCCTCTCGCACCATCTCCAGGTGCTTTTCTGCACCCGCCCCCATGGCTCACGCGTTTCCCATGCAGGTGTAGACAGCCCCGCCTCTCAGCTGCTGTCCCAGGGATAGCCACTTACAAATACGCTTTCAGCATTTAAGACAAAGGCGAATATCCTTAATAAATAAAGAGCTTCTATAAACCAATATTAAAAGCAACAGGAGAAATGGGCCAAAAGTTTGAGAAAGCAATTCAGAGAAGAGGAAGAGGAAATGAGAAAGAGGAGGAAGGGAAGGAGGAGGTGGGCAGGAGAGGGGGAGAGGGGAGAGGAAGAGGGGAAGGGAGGAGGGGAGGACAGAAAGGAGGGGAGGAGGAGGAGGAGATGAGGGGAGGGAGGAAAGATGAGGAGGGGAAGGGGGAGAGGGCAAAACACGGAGGTAACATGGGAAACATAACAGTTGGCAGTGATCAAATGATTGCAAGCAGGTGGTGAATTTTCACCCTTCAAACGGCCAAATCCTCTTAGCAAACTCTCAGGGCAGCGGGCGCAATGCTGTTCCACTGATAAGAGCATAAATCCGTGTGCTTGAGGGGACTGTTCAGTGCTGGGAAAAACCTGTAGCATGTCCATGCCCACTGATGCAACGATCCTGAGAGCTGATCAAGGGGAACAGGAATCTGCAAGATGATTAGCACCAGCGTGTTCATCCGGTGGTTACACCAGCAAAGATGGGAAAACCCAGCCAAGAGAGTGTGTGATCAGCACACGGCTTCATAACACAATAGTTTGCAGTCATTTAAAATAGTGCTATAGGGGGCGCCTGGGTGGCTTAGTTGGTTGAGCGTCTGACTTTCGCTTGGGTCATGACCTCACAGTTCGTGGGTTCAAGCCCCGCGTCGGGCTCTGTGCTGACTGCCAGCTCAGAGCCTGGAGCCTGTTTCAGTCTGTGACTCCCTCTCTCCTGACCCTCCCCTGCTCACGCTGTCTCTCTCTCTCTCTCCTAGAAATAAATAAAACATTAAAAAAAATAAATAAAATTAAAAAATAATAATAATAAATAAAATAAAATAGTGCTATAGAAACAAAATTGTTTACATTGGAAAAGTCAACATGCCATTAGGAGAAAAGGGCAGATTATGAACATAATGATCCTATTTCTGTGTGTGTGTGTGTGTGTGTGTGTGTATGCACCATTAGCATAATGCCCAGTACCTAAGAAGCAGCCTATCAACAGACCATAAACACAGACTAGAGTAAGGCAGGTGGGGGAGGGGCAGGTGGGGGCTTGAAGGGGAAAAAGGGGTGGGGGAGGGTCTGAAAAGATCACGCCAGTGTTCCCACAGTTTTCTTTCTTCATTAGTCAAATATGATCATTTTTGGTCTGTTCTTTTCTTACCTGTTTGTGTTTTCTGCTTTTGGGGATACTAACTGCATCTACTTTTGCTATCTAAATTAACAATAACAGGTAACGAATTAAAACGCAAGGTAAATTCCACCCATCCCTTAAAACCCACCTGAAATTTTAGTCTGTCTGTGCAAAGCGTCCCCACTTCTGCAGCCCGCAGGCATTTCCGGAATGCGAAGCGCACGTTGCTTTCCCCTGTGGGGGGATTTTATGGAACTCCGGTAAGACGTCGCCGTCCCGGGCGCCTGCTGCTGCGTCCGAGGCCGGGGGTCCTGGACAGCAGGGCTGTGCTCCCCCGGGACTCATGGCTGCGCCCGCTGGACCCGGGGCTGGAGGCGAATGCGGAACAGACGGGGCACAGGCGTCCGATGCGGGTGCGGCCAGAGAGAGGCTTCCACGAAGAGGGAGGATCGGGACTCCCCCGCGCAGACCAGACTGAGGACCCCGGAGCTGAGGCAGGAACTCAGCCGGGGTCCCTACATGAAGCAGCTCACCCCCCGCCCTGAGGGAGCGCCGCGGCCGGGATCTGTGTGACGACACAGACACCAGGAACCTGGTGACCCGCTGGCTCTTACTCCTTCTTTTAAACCTAGAGAAACTCTGGTAGAGTTTGTTTTTCCTCTCGTCAAATAAATGGCCAGTACGTAAGCCCACCCGGCGAGTCTTTCACAAAGGAGAAACCCTGCCCTGCTCAGACCAAACTCACACCCCAAATCCACTAAGCGGCACCTGATTTAATCCTTGGTAAGGAGCAAGCGGAGCCAGAACAAAGCTGGCTTTGATGCGAAGTCAAGGTCTAACACACCCACGGCGGCCTGGGCACAGAACCATCCCCAACCGCTTAAGCAGGCAGAGGCTCAGGCGCCAACCAGAGTGGCCGCAGCCGTGGGCAAGGTGGGCTTCACCCGCCGCGGGCCCACAGGGGTCTGGAGGATCCTGAGCCCGCGAGGCACAGCCTTTCTGAGCCACCTTTAGAACACACACCAGACTCACACGCACGCCTGAACACACAGGACGCTGGTGCACACGCCCACGGTGCACGCTCGCCCGGGGCCCGGCCCACTGCCGGGGGTCCCCGGAGCCGCTGGCGCCAGCACAGCCGCCGGCTCGGCTCTGCGCTGGTTGCACTTCTAATTTAGCTGCAAGCACACCCTCCTTTTCCAACTTCCCTTTAACGAAAAGACGTGCGTCCCCCAGAAGGAAGGGGAGACGGACCACGTGCCGTCTGCAGCGACCGCAGCGACCCTGGGGCATCCGTCCCCTGCGGAGGCCCCAGCTCGGGCCTGAGTGTGCCGGCCACGCCCCTCCCGCGGCTGGTGGGGCCTGCCGGGGCCAGGGGCGCGGAGGGGACCGCAGGGGCCCCCCCTCCCCGCTGCCAGCCCAAGCCCGAAGTGGCGCCTGGCCTCCCGGACTCCCCCAAACTGGCTCTCTTGCGCCCCATGCGGCCTCCGCGGGGCACCTGGCCTCCCCAACGGCCCGAACACAGGCCTTCCCGAGCGGACCCTCCCCTGCTGTCCCCTCCGTCTGGTCCCTGTCCCTGCTCCAGCCAGGACAGCCCGGGCCTCCACGTCTCTCTCAGGGCAAAACCGCCAGCACCAGGCGACATGATGCCCCTCAGGGTTGACCTGCTTCCAGGGGACCCGACCGGTTCTCCGGGGACCCAGCCCACTATAGACACCGGGACCGGAACCACTTTTGGGGGGCCTAACTCGCCCCTGGGGAGCCCGACCTGCTCCCGGGGACCTGACCTGTTCCTGGGGGACCCGCCCCACCCCGGGGCCTGCCGTCCACACACGCAGGGGCCCGGCCCACCCCGGGGCCTGCCGTCCACACACGCAGTGACCCGACCGACTCCGGGGCCTGCCGTCCACACACGCAGGGGCCCGGCCCACCCCGGGGCCTGCCGTCCACACACGCAGGGGCCCGACCCACCCCGGGGGTACCCGACCCACCTCGGTGAGGCCGCCCGTCTCCACACGTGGGGTCCACACAGAGTAGCAAAGAGCCCCGCCTCCTGCGGCCGCGTGGCCCCGTCACCTGGCAGGGAGGCGCAGCCGGCGGCGTCCCCGCGGGGGGCCCGGCCGCGCCCGCCAGAACGTCGGGGGCGCTCCCGGCCGGCCTGTGCCCGCTGTGCCCGCTGTGCCCGCTGTGCCCGCTGTGGCGGGACGAGTGCAGCAGAAATTGGGGAAGGTGGAAAACCGCTCCATCGCCCCTGGCGCCGCGCCCGCGGGAGCTCACAGGGCAGCAAAGCTCTGGGCCCCGCCCTTGGGGGGGGGGGTGCTGCTTCAGGGCCTCGGCAGGAACGTGGCGTGGAAGCAGGTTCCCGACAAACAGCGCCAGCGAGCGCTCACCGCCACCAGACACAGGCGACAGGCCACAGGCCGCCTCCGTCCCCCGGCGCACTGCCTCCGGCCAGTCACGGCGTCCTCGGGAAGCCCCGGTCTGCGACTGGTCACGTCAGAACGAGAAACGAGGCTTCTTCCCACCTCGACTCCCATCAGTCAACACGGAGGGAGGAAGCCCCGCAACCCTCCCCCGCGGGGGCGTCAGCCGCCTCAAGCCTTCCGGCCCCGACCTCGCCTGCTGGGGGCGGCGGGTGTGCAGTCTCGCTCTTCGCTATTCAGTGTCACGCGTGCCCCTCCGTGTTCGGGGGACCAGGGCCGTCGGGCGTCCGCAGGGACATCCCGGGACGCCGGGTTTCTGCCAGCACGGCTGCTGCCGCTGTCGGGAGCAGGCGCGGGCGACGTGGAGCCCCGGACACGGCCGGGTGCCAGCGGGCGGCGCAGGGACCGGCGCGCCCCCGGGGTGCCGACGCCCCCCGGGAGGCGGTGACGGCCCGTCTAAGTACACGTCAACAACCCGAAGTCCCGAGGCGCCGAGGGGGCCAGAGAGGATTACAAGGCCCCACCGGCAATTCTTAAAGAACAGGACTCGGCCTTCGATTCAATTACCAGAAAGCCAGGCGGCTGCAGGGCCACGGCTCCTAGGGGAAAGGGAGACTGGGGTCAACGTCACTTTTCCGACCTGGCATCAACTAGCCCCGTTTAAAAAAAAAAAAAAAAAAAAGAAACTTTCTGCCTTTCGGAAGCTGGTTTTCACTGAGCTGACTGGCTCTTATTACATAATCCATAGAAGTGATGGATTCCAGAAACTCTGAAGGGAACGCAGAGAAACCAAAGTGCGTTCGACGGCAGATTAGCAACAGGGGCCCTCACCCCCCACTGCTTCCTGGGTACCAGGAACCGGAAACAAAGGACGGCGCTCGCTGCCAGGCAGACTCCCTCCCGCGACACCTAACAAAGAGGTGCCAGAGGAGGGACGCGGGGTCAGTCAGTGCCTCCAGGGCCCGCTGCCGGCCCCTGGCTGCCGGGCCCACAGTAAGCAGGCTCCTTCATCTTTGATGAAATGCATTGTATTTAAGGAGAACGGTTTGAAACTGGGTCTGGCTAGGTTGGCCTGCTGAGCCTGGGTCTTTAATGTCAAACAGTCCGCGGCCGTGTAGTCTCATTTATCCATCAGTGTTTATGTCTTTGTTGCATTTTTAAGTTTCCCACTCTGTGGGCTGAGAGTAGACTGGAAATATTTCAGAGCCGCAACGCCATGTTCCTCAACAGAACTTAGCAAATCTTCCGGCAGATACTGTACAGGAGAGAAAGCAAGCAAAGAGCCAGGCGTGACCCTCAGCACAGGCATCTTCAGCTCTTCCTCTAAAACGATAGGGGCGCCTGGGGGGCTCAGTCGGTTAAGCATCCGACTCCTGGTCTCGGCTCAGGAGACTATGAGATCATGAGTTCGAGCCCCATGTTGGTCTCTGCACTGACAGCACAGAGGCTGCTTGGGATTCTCTCTCTCCCCTCCCTCTCTCTGCCACTCCCCTGTTCTCTCTCTCTCTCTCAAAATAAATAAATAAACTTTAAAAAATAAAGGGACGGGTAATAAATATTTTTGACTTTCCAGGCCAAACAGTCTCTGTTCCAGTTCCCCCGCCTTCATAGCCCCACAGAAGCCTGTGTAGACGAAGAGGCGTGGCTGTGTCCCAACCAAACTTTATTTAGGGCCACTGACATCTGAACTTCACACCGTTTTCATGATACCACAAAAATGCCATTTGCCATTCTTCTTTTCATTTGTTTTCCATCCATTTAAAAATGTAAAAACCATTCTTCTTAGGTCACAGTAGCCACAGGAAAATGGGCGCAGACCATATGTGGCCCCCGGGCCGTGGGCGGGCAGCCTCTTCTAAAACTGAGCGACAGCCTCGCTGTTCTCTCCAAGGGTGCTGGGTCTGTTGACCAAGATGTGGATTTTCTGCTCTCAAAGACTCACTGAACCTAAAGTACCTTCCGAGCTGGTGAAAATCGGAACACGTGTCTCCCAGGATGTCTGGCTTCCTGGCTGAGCATTTTAAAATAATGACTTCCAGCACTTTAAAGAGACCACCATCAATTTCATGGAACTGAGGCCAACAGTGAAAGCCGACTAGAAAATAAACAGGTCGCTGCTCTTTTGGGAAGAGCTTATTTTTGGGATAATTGCCCAGGGTTTATCGCCCTGCTTTGCTATTTGCATCCCAAGACTCAGAATCTCCAGGCACCGGGGGCCCACGCACACCCATTCCCGAGCATGCCCCCGGACTCCTCTCGCGGGCGTAATACGGGCTAGAAATGAGCCAGGTGGCCTCACAGGTCTCTGATGCCTTTAATATCCGACAACTCAAGAGAAATACTTTAATGCTGAACAAGAAGAATTTCTCCTGGTGCTTCTGCCGGCAGAGGTGAAACAATTAGGAAGCAGGAGGCTCAAAAAGACACTTTAATTGAGGACGAGAAATGTTTTCGTGGTATTGCTAATGGACAGAGGTCAGACGAGCTGTTGATGATGCAAACGAGGAGCAGACAAAGCAAATGAAGGTAATGTGTTTGGAGTACCCTTAGCTGGACACAAAATAAGGCAAGCAAGCTCCCCTCTGGGGCGTGTTCGCAGCTGTGTCCTTGAATTGGCTCCTCGTTGGACAAGGGACAGCGTTTCCTGTATTTTTCTTTGAACTGTTGATGCAGATCAATGCTTTGCAACCTAGAGTTCAAGTCTGTTCTGCTACGCCAGCTCCACGTTCTATTTTCAAGGTATTTGACTGTCAGCGAAAATGAATGATAATCAAATGGCCTGCTTGTAGCACAGCTCTTGTAACAAACAGAAAATACACACACAAATTATTAAGTCAATTTCCACAAGGTGACTTTCGCCGGCTGGAAAATCGTCCACGCTTGTGTTTGATATTTTTGTAGGATGCAGAAAAGACATTGGACAGTTCTCTTGACTCCCCTCCAAAAGAGGTAGGAGCCAAGGAAAGTACTGAGATGAAAAGTAAAGTGCTTTATGAACTTGGCTCCTCAGTGAGCCTCTCACGCGGGGCTGAGTCACGTCCTAGAAGCCACCGGAGCACACCCTCAGGAAGGACAGTCACTGGGCAGAGAGCACTGGAAACAGAAGATAGGGAGGGAGGCTGCTGCTTAGGAAAGAAACTGTTCGGGGCCCCTGGGAGGCGCAGTTGGTTAAGCGTCTGACTTCAGGTCACCATCTCTTGATTCATGAGTTTGAGCCCCACGTCAGGCTCTGTGCTGACAGCTGGGAGCCTGGAGCTGCTTCGGATTCTGTGTCTCCCTCTCTCTGCCCCTCCTCCACTCATGCCTCTGTCTCTCTCTCTCTCAAGAGTAAATAAACATTAAAAAAAATTTTTTTTTAAAAAGGAAAGAAGCTGTTCACACTGAGGACACGGGGTGACTTCATCTGTGTTTTTAAAGCATACGGAAATGATTTAGAAATGGACGGGTTATACGGCCGGCCTGCTGGAGCTGGACCACTACCTCCCTCGACCCTACTAAACCCGCAGCGCGGCGTCTCCCACGCCCTCGTCGTCTCCCTTCAGGCACGTACCCGACTTTTGTTTTGTCCCCAGTGCACTTTCATGTAAACCAGGCGTGAGCAAACTCGCCCTCAAGCCAGCTCGGGCCCACAGTCTGTATGATAAATAAAGTTTTATCGTACACCACCACGGTCATTCATTTGCATATTGTCTGCGGCTGCTTTTGAGCCACGGGTGGATGAGTAGTGGTGACAGAAAGCTTAAATCATTCGCTATCGAGCCCTTACAGAAGAGGTTTGCCGACCCCGAGGTAGACAAAACCAGAGTAACGTAGTCGCAAACAGGGCACACCTGCTGGCTGTGACCTCTGCCTCTGTCACCCAGCGGCCGTGTGGTGGCCAGAACCTTACTGAGTTGAGACAGGGCTCCCTCACCTGTGAGGTCTGGACGGCGATGCCCACCCCACGGGCTCCTTCGTTACTCACCTGGTACTGACACCTGATAAATCCTCGACGAAGGGAAACTGATAAGCCACCAGTCGTGGGTTCTGCTGGTTCTGATGCTGTCTCGTGCGAGTCTGTGCTCCGGCCTAACTTTATCTCAGATCTTTCTGTCCTTCCTACGCTGTGTCCTGGGAGCTTGGTTCCTCTTTCATTCCCTTCCTCCTTTCTACCTCCCTGCCCCTTTACATCCACTGCCTGGCTCGCTTACTCCACGGAGGACGCACTATACGCTTGGCAGTGTCTCAGTGTGGGGCACTCAGTACCTTCTTTTTCTGAAGACCTACTCCGCTTGTTACCATTCTTCCCTCTAAGTCACCAGCCTTGGGAACGGGAGGTGTAGAACCCCAAATCTGAACCACCAGGGTCTCTGCCCTGGCCCTCAGTGGCCCCCATTCTTCGGGCTCGGCCGAAGGAAGTGGCAGATGCCCTCTGGGCCAGTCTCCTCAGGAGCCAGCCCTTCCCAACTGCTCCCCAGACTGGCTCCTGGCTGCTACGCTCCGGGGTGCCTACTGGCCTCTCCTCAGAATCACCAGGCATAGAGAAAATGAGTTCTCGATCCTAGTTCAGACATCAGGGAAATCAAGGCTCTCCAAAATCAGGCCATGCAATGGAGACACAGTGACGGCTTGCTCACTGGCTGCCTTGGGGAGCTCCGCCGGCCTCACGCAGAACCGTGTGCGCTCCGGGCGCAGACACCACCTCTCAGGGTCGAACCTGGCTCATAACCCCAGGCAAACAGACACTAGTTTATTATAGAGAAACACAGAACTGACTGAATGTTCCAAGCGGCTGGGCTATCCGCTGTGTGCTCGCGGAAGAATTTTAATGCAATTAGCGAGTGCAAGGACGGAGCTGATGAGCCGCACCAATCCTCTGATTAACACCCCGGTTTACTTGAGATGATGTGCAGCTTATTTTGAAAAATACACAAACAGATAGAAGGCAGAGGCTTCTCAGCCACTGTTTTCACTGTCCAAGAGGGAGTGTAACTCCCTTTTGGGGCAAGATTATTGTTTCTGATTTAAATCCATCACCCAACTAGCGAGAAAGGGACTGAATTCATCATCGAGTCTCTGAAGGCTTATAATTGCCTAATATTTGACTCCCTGATTACAGTATTTATCTCTTAAAGACCTGGATAAACACACACAGGTGTAACGGCGCCGTCGTTCATGGCTTTCTTATCTCCGTCCTGTAGGAAGTACTATAAAAGGACTCCATGGAAGGTGGCCGTGGTGTTACGGAGCTGATAAATATTTCTTGCTCTTTTTACCCAGAGGTGGCCATGCTCTAGGAGTGGATTAGTGGCCACCATGAACCAATGGTGGGTTATCTTTATTGACTAGTTTGTAAACTCTTAGAGATCCTAGAAGATGAAAGGTACCTTAGAGGGTGTGCACACAGGATTTCAAAACCCAAAGTCAGGCATATGTTAATGCAGAGAATGATGAATAAATGACTAAATG